TCGGAATTTAACAAGGAACTTGCCTTTCCCGAGGACAGGGATGTTCTTGCCTTGGTAGTCTCTCAAGGTGAGGTGACACTTTTGTAGCTGCTTCCTGGTCAGTCTGGGTTGAATCTCCTTCAGCGTATCCCAGGAGATGATTGAGAGCGCTGAGCCCATGTCAACCTCCATGCTGCAAGGTTTACCTTCTAGGGAAACAGAAAGCTTAATTTTATTTGGCGTTTGGGAAGTGTGGTTAGCGTGGTAGCAAGTATAACAGTCTTCTACTTGCCTTTGGAGGCTGGGAGATGAAGACAGTTTCTGAGGAAGAGCGCGTGCTGCCTGGCAGACTCTTGCGAGGTGACCTTTCTTGTGGCAGTTTAGGCAGCTGGCGTTTCTGAACCTGCAAGATGCCCGGGAGTGGGCACCTCCGCAGGTTAGGCACAAAGGGATCTGTTGTGGGCCACTGCTGTTTCTCTGCCTCGCTCCTACCTGTGGTTGTTTCAACTGCTTGAGGCGATGGATGTCAGAAAATTCTGTGGGGTCAGCTTTGGTCATCACCTCTTCCGAGTGGACGGTGGAAGTACCAGGCTTGGGTGTGGTGCCCTGAATCTCAGCTGCTGACTGGGTGGAGAGTTCAGCAGCTAGGGCTTCATCTACTGCTTGGGAAAGATTTAAATCTTTCCTTGCCAGTAGATGCCTTTGGAGCCTCAGATCTCTTACCCCACAGACGAGTTGGTCGAGAAGCATGTCGTCTAAATAATTCTTAAATTCGCATTGTAGAGCTGCTGTCCTCAGGGCGGCCATGTACTGGTTGATGGACTCCCCCTCAGCTTGCTTCCTCATCCTGAACGTGTAACGTCTTGCAATCTGGGAAGGTTTAGGGGAGTAGTGGTTTGAAAGTGTTTCTTGTAGTTCGTTCCACGGAACGCTTCTGATGTCACGTGGTGCGAAAAGTGCCGTGGCAGTGTCGAAGACTGCAGCCCCGCAGTAGCTAAGGAAGTACGATTTCTTCCTATGCTTTGCGGCGTCAGCTAAACCAATGGCATCGATGTAATGGCTGAAGCGATTCTTATAGGAGTCCCACGTCTCCTCGTTGGGTTTGAATGGTTGAAATGCCGGATTGGCGTTCATCTTGGGACCCTCGGTGTCGCTGGCAGACTGAACTATCTCTCTGGGTGGTCGTGCCCCTAGGGCTTGCGCTATCGTGAGAGCTGGCGGCTGCGGCTACAGCGCCTTAGACTTGCTCAGTGACTTCGGCTTTTGAAAGAGCAGTCTGTATTTCACGCTCTCTGCGCTCGTTGGCGGCTGCGGCTAACAGCGCCGTAACTGACTTCAGCTTAGTGACAGCAGTTTGGATTTCGCGCTCTCTGGGGAGCATCGGCGACTGTGGCTACAGTGCCGTACTTCGCTTGAGTGTCTAGATTCAAACGGCAGCGGTTTGAATTTTGCGCTCTACTGTGAGCGTGGGTGGCTGAGGCTTCAGCGCCGTGACTTTCAGCTCATATCTCAGCGGTTTGAGCTTGGGCTCTCTGTGAGCGAGGCGGCTGCGGTTCAACGCCGTGGCTTCGCTAGAGCGATTTCAGCTCTTTTGAATGCGAGTGCTTCTGGCTAGCCTGCGGTCAGATCCCATCCTCGTCGCCAGTGTTGTGGAGCGAGGGAACAGACAAGGCTTAGACCAGAGCATACAAGTAACAGTCTTTATTCAGGGAATAAAGGGTTGTCGCATCTGCCAGCTAACAAGGCAGACTGCAAGCGAACAACGGCTGGCTCTGCTCGACAGCCGGCTTTTATAGCCGACTGTCAAACGGAGCCAACCAATGGGAGCTGCTGGTGCTCCCGCTCAAACAGCGGACCTGGTTGGGGACTCCAACCAGTCCTAAAGACATAACAGTGCTCATCAATAACAGTTACTTTATAAAACTCTTTTTCTGTAGAAAAATATTTTAAAATTCTGTAACAGACCCAGGTTTATTAACCTGATCTGGATTTTTTCCTTCCAACATCCCATGACCAACTCTGTTCCACCACTAAATTTGGAGTTCAAAAATTCAGACATCCAAACCCAAACATTGAGACCACCAGGAACCAAAGAACCAAGAAACTAATTTTGAAAATTAAGAAACAGTTTCCGCCTGTATTTCTCACCTTGGATTTACTGAAAAGAATTAACAATTTGGGGATGGAGAGGGGGAGGCCTGGATCAGGAAGGGGAGGGAGTAAACTCTCTTTTTTGAATCAGACCAAAATGCTTTCTATCTGGATTATTAGTACCTGACGACTTTGTGTCAATCAGTCAGTCTGAATATATTTCTAAAACTGTTGGACATTTTTTTCTTAACTGACAACTGCATTTAATATATTTGAGGAATTAAAAGATATAAGGTACAGCATATCATGTTTAGGCCCCACAAATGATTTTTTTTCAGCTTTTGATTCCTTTTTTTCTATTTTGGATAACAACAGTTTCAACAGTCAAGTTTCTTTTTCAAATAAGCATGTTGATCTAAAATCCATATATATCACTTCATGCAATAATTTTTATACTAAATCCTGCCAATTCAAACCATCTACCACCCCCCACTCCCCAAAAGGAGGTTGATTTATATTGCATCAAATACCAGGAAATTTGACTTTTCATCTAAATTCTGTCAAGATATTTCTTTACAATTCAACTCCTCCCCTAGCCTTATGTAATGTGAACATATCAGTATTATAACTTTAAATGAATTCATCATTATCCACAAAGAAATATAAGTTCAAACCATTAGCAGGATTTTAGCACCTTCTCCCCCAAAAAACCCTCCCATAACTATTTGAGAGAAACAACAGAGAGTTCAATAATTATTATTATGATTATAAACCTGGCCTAACTCTGTATCACAAGTGTATAATTCCTTATAGAAGGAAAGGCTATACAGGTCACTTACAACAGTTTGTTTAGTGACCGTTCAAAGTTACACAGGAACTGAAAAAAATAACTTATGAACATTTTTCACACTTACAACCTTGCAGCGTCCCTGTGGTCACACGATCAAAATGAGGGCGCATGGTAACTGGTTCATATTTATGATGGCTGGAGTGCCCCAACATCATGTGATCAGCTTTTATGACCTTCTAACAAGCAAAGTCAATGGGAAAATCAGATTCACTTAACAACTGTGCTATTACCTTAACTGTAGTTATCCACTTAACAACTGTGGCAAGAAAGACAATAAAATGGGGCAAAATTCACTTAACAAAAATCTTGCTTAGCAACAGAAATGTTGGGCTCAATTGTGATTGTAAGTCAAGGGCTACCTATACGCAGTCTTGAAACAAGGAGAAAAGATGGATCATGAATCTAATGAGTAAACAGGGCACTGGACTAAAAAGTTTAGTCTGGTCTCAGATGGTTTTCGCTATAATAAGTGTATTACAGCATTGAGCAGGTGGTTGGACTATGTAATTTCCAAGATCCCTCCTAAACATAAAATGATCACTAGGGCTATAACTAGACAGCTAAACGTTATTACTGTATTTTTAACCCTGAAAATGGGTTCATTCCTTAACTACCACACCCTTAAGCTAGTTCTTAAATTAATTCACTTTCTGGACTCATACAGGCAGACAAAACTAGCCAAAGCCTAGGAACAAACTAACCAGAGGTTCATGAAACCTGCTAAGCTATAAAAAAAACCCAAGGTTTACATAAACCAGGAATCACCCATTTATTAAAAATGTATGTTTGATTTGTAATTGAGCATATTCTATAAACGCAGTTGGTCTCTGTCAAAAATCTGCAGCAATTCACCACCCAGCAAGGCACATGTTTTTTTTAAAAGGACACTGTACATCTTGATGTGAAATACATAAATACTTGATACATCTGTAGAATTGAATTTAATGGGTTTGCCTTCTGAAAAACCCATGAAATTACAGTATCAAAACAGAAAGAATAAAATTCTAAGCTGTTTAGCCTCTAGTTAAAGTTTAGTTTTTAACATACTTTGTCCTGTTGCAGATTTGCAAGTCCATATTATAGAAAATAACCAATAAAAATTAAGTACATACCAGATCTTGTTTCTGACTCAGCAATCTTCCAGAAAGATTTGAAGATAAATTTGAAGTACAAAGTCTGGAACTAATATATTAAGTAAAGGCTATTTTTAAAAAAGCAAGCATACCATGCCACAGAGCACTAGCGAAGTACAATTTCTATCTATCAAGGTACAGATTTTCTGGTGAAAATTGATATGACAACAGGGTAAAAGTGGACTTCTTTTTCACTTTCATCAGAAAAGTTTTAGTTTGCTTTTTTTAAAAAAAATGGAGGAATGTTACGCATGCCAACTCAATACCAATCCCCCCACCCCCCCAGTTAAAGCTAGCCAACAGAAAGGAAAACATCAAGGGAGATAAGCAATTTATTTTTCTGCCTTCCCACCCTTCATCTTCTGGACTTTAGCTAAAACCTAACTAGATAACGGCTTTTAAAAAGTGGCTGCGGGGACGAAAAGAATGTTCCCGAGCACAAGCAAAGAAATCTCATCCTTAGAACAACTGATCAGTGGAACGGCTTGTCTCCAGAAGTTGTGAATGCTCCAACACTGGAAGTTTTTAAGAAGAGATGGGACAACCGTTTGTCTGAAACGGTATAGGGTTTCCCTTCTGAGCGGGGAGGGGGTCGGACTAGAAGACCTCCAAGGTCTCTTCCAACTCAAGTTATTCTGACAGCAAAAGGCTGCCTTCTGCTAAACCGGAGCACGTGCAGCGCGCGATTCCTCTCCGTGCGCCGAAATCATGAATTCAGAGCTCTCCTCCTGATGTTGCTTTTCCTTTCCCGATGCATAGGCGAGCAAAAGCGGGAGAAAAAAAAGGCAACGCAGTTCTTTTCCACTGGCAATTAGGGAAAAAAAAAGAGAGAGAGAGAAAGACGGGAAACTACCAGCTTCTGTTGTTGCCGCCGCTGCTCAGCCCCGGGAAGAGCTCTTCTGCCCGGTGTAAACCCCGCCTGCGAAGCCCAGGGATCGCTTCCTTACCTACCAGAGAGCTTCGCACGGGCCCCATCGCCCCGCAGACCGACCGACCGACCGCCGGCCGTAACTCGCTCGCTCGCTCCCTCCGCTTTGCTTCGCCTCTTCTCTCTTTCTCCAAGGCTCGCCAAGACCTTCGTCCGCTCGGTCCGCAGAGGCGCTGCCATGGAAATCACAAGCATTCCCGGATAGGCCGATGTGTCGTCGCGCCCTATTGGCCGCCTCCGAGAGACGGACAGCAAAAGGGGGCGGGATTCTCCCGCCTAGGTCTTCCCCGAGTTCCTTTCAAGGGGGAGCGGCGGGGAGGTGTTGGTGTCCCCCACGTGGAACCCCCAGGGAGGAAGGATGGACTGAGTCCCTGGCTTGGTCTTGCCTGCGCAGCGTTTCTTACGATGGGGGAAAGGAAGTACTGGTTAGCTTTGGTCTATATGGGTCAACCAGCGCCCGGTTTTTCCCCAACTTATGCTTCAGCAACAAAACCAGCGCCCAAGAAATAATGTGGGAAGCGAATGTTGGACTTTAAAGAAGTAGGTGAGAAAAAGTATTGACGTTTCTGAACTTTGACGCTGGAGAAGTCCTGAGCCAAGGACTCTCGTAGAGAGCCAAGAACACGAAGTAATGGGTGGTTGCAGAAATCATCTCTTACTGGAGTTATCATATTTTTGTCATATGAGCACAACTGCCTTTTGAGAAGTTTTTAATGCTGGACAATTAGAAGAAAGGAGAAGAAAAGTGATGACCATCAACAAGGTGGATGGATTTAGTTACAGTGGCAATGAGGAGCACTTCTGGAAGACCTGAATGAGGTTAGGGACAAACATTTCATCCTGAAGAAAATATATCTAAGAAGTTGCTAAAAATAAACACTGACTTAAAAGGCACATCATCACAATGCTTGTGGAAGTCAGTGTCATAATCTCAAGGTGCTGTAGGATATGGATGGGGTATCATGGAGTAAAAAAACTAAAAGTTAGGAGGCTGCAATCTTGGCAACCAATGCTCTGCCCTTTTTTCATGTGTTCTACATGAGACACATGTTAAAGAGAGATGAGGCTTCAATTGCACAATCACAACCATCATTTTGTATTTTTTTTGAGACCTCTACTTTTTGAGACCCACTTTATACTTTACCTGGGGACAGATTGCAGGCTGAAGGATTCTATGTGGCAGATGGATCTAGAGGCTACTGGTGATTCTTGCTGGTAGATTCTTCAGAACCTTCTTGTACCAGCTAAGAGCCTATTTAGTCTCATTCTGCTACCCACCAGATATTTTGGCTAGCCCATAACTTCTTCCCCATTGTGATATTGCAGAGTAAACACTGGAAAATCTATTTTTTGTAGCAACAATCTCTCCTTGTGATTGGAGTGAGCCTGAAACCCTTGCCCTCCTTTTCTTCCCTTGCCCCATCTGTGACAGCATGTACTCTGATCTTTTAACACTCCTTCTCAATAACATTCATTCCACTTTGAGTCAGATGCTGAAATCCTTCTTTTGCAGGATCATAATTAACTCTTACAGAAAATGGCTCAGTTTTTATCAGCTGCTATCTCAGAGATTACTACACTTCCCTTGGACTGCAAAAATCACAAAGAATCCTAGACCAAGTCTAGGTCTAGAAGCCAAGATTGCTAAACAAAGGGTATTACACTTTGGCCATGTCATGCAAGCTGATATGTGCTGGGAATGACCAGCAGAAAAAGGAGAAGGGGCTGCTCTAGTACCCATGGCCTTCTTTCTACCCTCTCACCTCTGCTCCCATTCTGGATATCTGTTTGGGCAGAGATTGTACATGCACAAATTATCTTAAGTTCAAGCAAGAAGATAGTTTGACATATCTACACTTGGCAACTGATCCTGAGACATGGCACAGCAGAGTTCGCTCTGTGTATATATTCATAAAAACAGTTGCTGTCATACTGAGGCTAAGACAGTTACACGTATGTATATATTCAAATTCTTTTTAAATTCTCAAATGATTCCAACAAAGTTGCTATGCTTCTAGCAGCAGCTGTCTAGAAAAGAAGACTGCAACTGAGATTTTGTTTTACTTCCTGCCATGGAAATGCAATTCTCTGCCTGAGTTTCGGACCCATGCATTTGTTGACATGCTCTGCACCCAACTAGCAGGAACATAAAGGGGAGATAAAATGTATACGTATATCAGAGAGAGAAAGAACTTTCAAAGAAATTGCTTGTCATCTAATAGGCCAGGTAAACCAAAGGACACTGGGGAGTTTCCAAAATAAACACATTTTATAGATAATATGAAAAGTAAGCAAGGGAACAAGAAGATCAAATAAATGGACCTTTCTAGAAAATGCAGAAAAAGTTTGCGTTTCAGAAGGCAAGGAAAAGCAAGGTCTCTCGAGTTTTGACTACAGGTAGTCTTTGACTTACAACCGTTCATTTAGTGACAATTCAAAGATACAAAGCACTAAAAGACTTACATCTGGTCCTCACACTTACGACTTACAACATCACATGATCAAAATTTGGGTGTTTGGCAATTCTTCAGTTTGCAGCATCTGAAAGTCACGTGATTGCCATCTGCCATCTTCCCAGTCAGCTTCCAACAAGCAAAGTCAATGGGGAATGCCAGATTTACTTAATGACCATGTGATCCATTTAATAATTACAGTGATGCATTTAGGACTCTGACAAAAATGATTGTAAAATTGAATAGACTCACTTAACAACCATCTTGCTTAGCAAGGGAAATTTTGATCCCAATTGTAGTAAGTCTGCATCTGGAAATGAATAGCATATTTACCCTTCTTCAGGAAACATGTAACTGATACACATCTGACTGTCATCTCACATCTCTAGCTTGATAATATTGCAGTCATATATTTTATAAGGATATAATACTTGCTGCCGTCCTTCCATTTTTTTTCCTTGAAATAAGACAAATGCTACCTGTATGACAGAACTGGTTCTACACAACGGCAAGATCCTCTGTCAGGATGATTGAGCATCATTCTAGAATTGCCAGGAAGAAAAAAAGAGTTCATACCTAAACTAGGAGTGGATCTGAGAAAACAAAGGTTACTGTATTAAGAAACATCAGATGATAATTACTTGGTTGCAAAATATGAGTAGGAAGGCCATTTTAAAAGCATGAATAGGGAGGAGGTTGGAAAGGAGGAAAAGAAGGGAAAAATACAAACAAATGAATTAAAAAGGGATGAGATAAAGAAGAATGTAAATACTGAGGCAAGCAGAGAATGCAAGAGGTTGTCTAAAGCTGGAGAATTTTGAGAGTTGAAATCTATACAGTTTAACATGGTTGAGGCTGAGAAACACTGCTTTAAAAGGTCAGGTCACAACAAGTCAAGGATATAAACTCACACAGCTCAGTTCAGGATCACACAGGTGCAGTTAACTGAGATACTTTTTAATGCATTACTTATTATATTATGGAACATTAATCTGTTTGGTTAGTTTATGGTATAAGATACTGCACAAAAAAACAATTCAGTAACTGGGTTAAGTGTTGGTACAGGCTGAGATGGCATTTGGGAAGAACAGTTGTTTAAGAAGACATTAAGTGGACAAGAATTCATAGCAATGAACAGACCAGAATTAGAATCCATTTGGGAAAAGCAAGAGAAACTATCTACTAACACAGATATTAGAAAAACCGTTAAGGGACTTTTTTTTCTTTTTGAGTGTGGAAATGAAAAGGAGTTGATGGGAAACCTGTCCCATAAAATCCAAATACTGTATGTAGTTCTTGGTAAAGCCAAATCAGTGACTATATTCTTTCTCAAAGAGGGATATAAATTTACATTATGTCATGTCTCCATGTTTAGAGGTTTATAAGGTTTCTATCTCTACCCCTTGGAGAGGGGAATTTCTGTATTTTTATACAGGGAATATCCTGTGTGATGTTTTCAGTCATATTGATTGCAAGGAGTTATACAGCAACAGCAATAGCACTTAGACTTATATACTGCTTCCCAGTTGTTACAGCCCCTCTCTAAGCAGTTTAAGCATCACATTGCCCCCAACAATCTGGGTCCCCATTTTACCGACCTTGGAAGGATGGAAGGCTGAGTCAACCTTGAGCCGGTGAGAATTAGTTTGCAATGTTGCATTTTAACCACTGCACCATCACAGCTCTATGCTTCACTCATGTATAGCTTTGATCCAGCTGCTTCTGTGACTTGTGCCTCACCTATTTCCCTGAAAGAAAAGGCTGAGGAAATCACTACCCATCTCTTTTCACCCCTTTTCTTGGCAAACAATATTAGGCTTCCATGTGCATTTTAGGTGGTGATTCTCTCCCATACTGTATATCCCTTGATCTTTAGTACGTGCTCCTTACTTTCCCCCTGTCCTTGGAGCTATTATATTTACCTGTCTAAGATAGAAAAGCAAGTTGGTCCAATACATGACTTAAATTGAATACTTCAATTCTTTTGAAGTCCTTCCTGGCATTCCTTGTGTAGAATGGAACCAGATCTTCACTAAAATTTTAAGTAGGCATGGCATTGCCATAAAGAGGCAAAGGGAAAAAGTAGCAACTTTTTTGTCTATCTCAAGTCATGGCTGAACATGTTTATGCCCTCTCATAGTATAAATGTTGGCTCCTTGTACTGCTAATGTTTTAAGTCTCTATTCCTATAGCTCTCCTTGTTTTGCAGATTCCCCAGCGAAAGGAAACATCTCTCTGAAAAAGCTGTTCATATGTATATGATGACATCCTTAAGGCACTATAATTATAATGTAATTTTATATGATTATCTGATTCTTGCTTCCACATTCCATCTACTTTTAACACTAAATCTTATTATTATACAGTAGATCATCATGTGCACTTTGAAGAAAACAAGCCCAGGTGTTCTCAACTTGTTAATTTACACCAGGGTTAGGGTGATCTTTGCTGAGACCTGAAGATCTAACCATCAAAGACATGTGCAAAAATGTACTTAGAATTGCTGTACCTACCGAGGAATTAGTTTTCAGATGAGAAACAACTGAGTTCATAGCCTTTTCCACACAAAATTCTACTCTTAGTACCCAAATAGATTTTTTAAAAATCATCCTTGTTGAAATGAAAAAAGCCTTTGAATGTTGCTATTGATTAACAGCATTTGTCTATGCAATAAATTGCACAGAAGATTACTGTATACACATTTGTACTGTATTTGAGTCTCAGAAATATTCCAAACCGAATAGTGGTGTTGG